CCATAGTGAAATTAATAATAGAACGACGAAGAAAGAAGTTTGGTATCGATATATACTTACACTGCGAAAAACAGATTTATTTTTTTAACGAAATAGGCAGTCTAAACAAGGTCACGGGTTAATGAGCGATGAAATGGGAAAAACCGGAAAAATATTTCGGCATGGCGAGGTTAAAATTTAATGTATTTCGCTTGTCACTGATTTTATATTTTTATCATAGGACAAAATGGCACAACAAAAATAAAACTTTTATGGCGGTTACAGGTTGTGGTCTCTCAAAAGTTCCGACTACATACACTCATGGTAAAAATAATAGAAACGCCTTATTTTGACCAGCTCTAGCTATATTTCTTCTGTTTATTTGTTTTGTTTGTTGTACTAAAATTTAATGTGTTACAAAGTTGCATGCTGAAAAATATTCTAAATTTTAAAACAAATATTCAGAATGTTTATATTTTTGCACAAGTTTGGAATATAAAGTTATATGGTTTCTCTTAGAAAATGGCAATCATAAAGGTATAACAATCAAAAGAAATCTAGCAAAAACTGGTCACAATAACGCTTTTCTATTATTTTGGCCATTGGTCTATATGGTTATAGTTATGAAAGCTGGATGTAGTCACAGCAATTGTCGCATTCAGTTACCATTGCCGCGGAATGAGCCATGTGTAAATTATATGTATGTATGTATGTACATAAAAATGGGAATAAAATGAAAGTTAATATTTCGTTCATATTTGCTAAATTATTCGCGCGTGCAATACTTTTAGTTTATTATTTTTGAATAAAATAGCTCCAAATGAAATTTTACATTCGTTCGTAAATTCATAACAGCGTTAAGTATTTTAAAATACGAAAATATTATTTCAACAAGTTCTTATGTACGTATGTATGTATGTACATATGACCTCTATTTATATATATATAAATTGATATGCATGCGCTTTTTTATTGCACATTTTTAAATATTTCTAAGTATGTACGCATTTACTTTTTGGCGAAATGTTGTTGAGATTGCAAATACCCATCAAAAATTTTAAATGTGTATGCATGTAAAGAGAGCAGGTCTCACGAGTTATTACATTTTTCGACAAAAACGTTTTTCACCTATCTTATAAAATGCATTATCTTCAGTTTTGTATAAAGTACAAGATTCCATCGCGAAATTGTATTGGACTGAAAACCTAAAAAAGATATACACTAAAAAAATAAAAATAACCATTCATACCCGTAGTTGCGTATGTAAAGTATACGCCCCGCATGCCTTAACTTAAAAGCCATATTATTAACAAGTAATTTTTAGCAAAAAAAACCGACTTCAACTCTCATACAAAAAAAAAAATATATATATATATATATATATATATATATATCTCATGATCTACTGATCGGATCTTAACCAGATTAGTGCCTCTGAGATACTACCTTTCCGATGCAAAAAGAATTATCGAAATCGGTTGACGTGGTGCAAAGTTATGCGGTAACATACATAAAAAATAAATAAAATCTTCCGACGAACTGATAACCTCCTCCTTTTTTGAAAGTCGGTTAAAAAGTAATTAAATATTGGCGTTTGAGATTTTTACATAGTATTCCCTATGTACATATACCTATATTATTTTCTTCATATACATATAAAAAAATAATAAAAAAATAAAAATTAAAAAAAAAAGGATAAAAAACAATAAAAAGTGGTTAAAATGGAGTCTTAGTTTCATTAATTTTATTACACTAGATTCGTTCGTTTTGGCAAGAAGAACACTTTCATCGTTTAATTTTAACATTTTGAAGTAACTTAAATTATTATAATTAAAAAAAAATCGTAAAAGTTCAAAAATTACAAAATAGCTGCGACCGATATTCTGCATGTTGCCATTTTTTTCGTGGTGTACTTTTGAATCTTCACAGATATGTTGTATTTGATGCCAACGTCAATTACCTCTAATATTAACGTTCTATTTAAAAACTTACTAGAGTTATTAAAAAAAAAACAATTACGATTTTTTCGAGTGACAATGACAAAAAAATTAGTAATTTCGGTACTTTTCGCCTACATAAAAGTTATAAGACTAAAATTGTTTAAATACTTGATTTATTTTTTATTGCACTTGTTTCTGGAACTCCATTGCTTGAAATAAATGCAAAAAGTATGCTTTAGCGTTTTTTCAGCCGACAGAAGCGAGTAACCCCTAAAAAAAACTGGTTAGATTTGCTCATATACCCATATGTACATATGTATGTGCATACTTGGAGCATTGACTTCACGCTGAAACGAAAAAATATATGTACGTATGTATGAATGTGGACTAGGGTGGTCCAAAAATGTATGTGAAAAAGTAAAATCGGAATTTTTAAGGTCCCACCCCCAGGAATTCTATATCAAAAAAAAACTTTACTTTTTTATTTTGAAATCAACAAATATTTAGAGTTGGCTTAAACCGCTAAAATTTTTCCATATTTTTTTTATACGGGAGCAAAGGTGTCGTAGAAATGGTATAGGATTCCTGAAAATCAATACTTTTCGATGTTAAAATTTATTTGACCTTTGTTTTAATACAAAAGATTTGCTATGGGTCCCCCATTGCATTTGCTGAGGTTTTTAGGGGTTTTACAAAAATTAGTAATAGAAAATGGCTAAATAAACAATTGGGTATTATTCTTGGCAGTCTCCTGAAGAGAATAAAAAATATTGATTTTCAAGAATTTTATACAATTTCTTCGAAAAATTGTTTTTTTTCATATAAAATACATGGAAAACTTTGAACGCTTTGAGCGACATCTAAATAGTTTTTGATTTCAAAATTAAAGCAAAGAAGTGTAAATTCGGGCGAAACCGAATTTTAAGCAGGTATCAAATATCATCGTTTCCACTTTCTCTAAATTAGCTTTGCAAGGGTGATTTCCCTGATTTCAAACGTTTTTGATGATATGTTGAGTTAGATTTAATAAAGGAAGCGAACAAAGTTTGGTAAAAATCGATAATGCGGTTACCGAGGTACACCTTTGTAGTCATTAACAGGTCTATTCTGCACGTAACCGGGAATTTTTATTACCAAAAAATGTTACCAGTTCTTGTCACCGCGATTCTAGGAACGTGGGTAATGCAGTTAAAGTATTCAGCAATTCAGCTATGAAGAATTGTGCAAATTCTGGCATTGCATATTTCACGGGGCAATACTTTGTTATCAGCTTATGAGATGGTAACAAAATTTACCGGTTACAAGAGTACACAGAATGCGAAAAGGGTTTGAAAATTGACAGGAACTTTATTTACCGTTTACAAACATTTTAATACCAGCGCAGAATAGACCTGCTAGTGGGCCGTGCTGCGCCCGATTCCTAAAGGTCTGTAAAAATCTTATTTACTGTTAAGAGATTATTGTAAGTATTAACTTGGAGTAAATTAGTTTCCTCAGTTATTGAAATTCCAGAGTTTTGGAATTTCTGAATATTATCGCTATGTGGGAAGCGGGTGTAATTTTAGCGCCATTTGAATTTTATCATAAGTGCACGGGGCACGCCCATTATCCAAAAATTTCATAACAATGGGTATTATTTTTTACCAAAATTCTACTTCACATTATAATTTTCTCTCAATATTTACTGAGATATAGAAAATACCATTATATGGGAAGTGGGCCTGGTTACAGCTCTGTTTGGCCAGTACCAACCTGCCCTCAATTCTCAATTTTTGCTCGAGTTATCGTTTACACGGTTAGATGGACAAACGGACGGACGGACATAAATGGCTTAGTAGATTTCTGAGCATTTATATATACATTTGTCTATATCTATCTCGATTCGTTTTGGCCGTTACAAACAACCGTTAAGCGAACAAAGTTATAATACACTTGTGCACAAGTACGCTCGGATATAAAAATATATGTATAGTTTTTTTCGGTATAGAACAATCCTAAGGGCAAGAGTATTGCAATTTCGACTTTACTTTGTTTTGGACCAACCTAATGTGCACATGTTTATAAACCAAACCTGGTTTGCTTACAATTTATTAGCGATACTCCATCTGAGATATGCAAAGCGAACAAAAATGTGTTAGTCCAAAAAAAAAACACAAAATCTTTTGTAAAGGAATGCAAGGCTTTCTTGGCATTAATACTTTCAATTATACTCATTATGAACTCTCAACTGCTTAAAAGTATCAATCATTTTTAATTTCGTAAACCAACTTGACTATCAAAAACGTTTGAATGATTAGCGTTTACAAAATGAATGTTAATATGCATGTACGTGTGTATGTACTATAAATACTATGAAGCGGCTGCTCCATAAACAATTAACACACAAATTGCAGCAACAAAGTGACGAGATTAAACCTGTTATTTACCAAAATTAGCCTACATTCATGCATCCAAAATTGTATGTGCACGTGTTTACATTCATAAAATTTTTATTAAAATAAGAAAAAATGATATTAAAGATACGAGAAAAAGTAATGCCTATTAAAATTTATATCGAAAGAGTAATTCCTGTTTCTCTTAAAAAAATATTTGGCTGCAAAGTAAAATAATTGGAATATTAGATTTAGTACGCTTTAACGGCGCCTGTGGTGAACATTATTTGCGCGGTTTTTTTGTCCAATTATTAGAAGAAATGTAAGCTTTATGAAAATTGAGATTTTTATTTATATTGCATTAGAATTTTTAATTAATTTTGATTCCTTAGTCAAAAGTGTTTCCATATGTGTATAGATAAACCAGCTTGCGAAATATCTGCTCAAATTGTAGAATAGGTATAAATAACTTTGTATAAGTGCAAGAATTTCCGTAGTGAAGACGGAAACAAGAAGAGTTTTAAGGAAAGTTGATCTAAACAAGAAACCTGCTTCTATGAGACAATTACATACATATATAAATATTTAATTTAATACATTTCTTTTTTAAACGATAGCAGATCATATATTAAATATATTAACCCTTTTTTTAAATTAACTATTGTTACAGAAGTTTACATCTTTTGTTAATAATTTATTTCCATTTCAGGTACTTGCTTCAAATATGTATTGTACTCGTCTGCATTAGCTTCGGCATCTGTCAAAAAATCTACAATTCTAACTATGCAATCCATCACCCAAGCCAGTATCAGAACGCCCGATATAAAGATCTTATCAATGTGTTCGAAGCGAGAAATTTAGAATTCGGCTTTTCGAGTGAAATTGAGCGGCAAGCGGCATTACGCGATGGGCGCTATAATCCAGATAGTCCGCTACCGATTGATGTGGATGTATATTATTCACGTGAGTAGTTCACAAAATAGTTATTTTGGAATAGAATTTTCCAAACTAGATTATTTATGTGTATACACATTTAACGTATACTACTTATTGCAGCGCGTGATAAGTGGTCAAAGATCTTCGTTACCATTCCACGCTTTGGTACTGGTGTGCCCTACTCGTTGGCTTACCTAACAAATGTGAAAAGGCCTAATGGCACAGAATTGCAGCCATACCCCAGTTATGACTGGCATTGGTCCCATGGCAGAGATTGCAATGGATTTACCTCAGTTTGTCGTGTGCACGTGGGTATTTGTTTAACTGTTCTTGCGTTTCGAAATCTTTATAAACTTTCTCCATTTTCAGATTGACCCTTGTGGTCGAATGTGGATACTTGACAGCGGCGAAATAAATAACATTCAATACTGTTTGCCGCAAGTGGTTGTCATTGATGTGGCGACAAGTAAACTTTTGCATCGCTATCGCCTAGCTGAGGCCCTGTTTAAGCGCAGCGTCAGCCGTTTTGTCACGCCATATGTGGATGTTTTGGATCCACCACCGCATGGACGTTGCCAAAGCACATTCGTTTATATGGCCGATTCTAATGGTTTTGGTATAGTCGTCTATGATGTGCAGAATGGAAAATCGTGGCGCATCGAGAACAAATACACCTATCCTGATCCAGATTTTAGCACCCATACAATCGCTGGTGAAAGCTTCGAGCTGTTAGAGGGCACTATAGGTCTAACTGTAACGCCGCGCGAACTCGGCGTCGAACGTTGGCTTTACTTGCATTCCTTTTCAAATGACGCTTTGGTGGCAATTCCTTTAGATGTGGTCAACAATAGTACTTTCTGGCGCACCGGTTTAGACTCGGCTATTTCCAAGCACATATTGATTGGCAGGCGCGGCATTCAATGTGGTGCTTCTGCAATGATTTCTAATGGCGTGCTTTTGTGCGGACACTATGCGCCTATTGGACTCTTTGGGTGGAATATTCGGACGCCATACGTAGCGGTAAATCGTTTGCTGCTAGCCGAGAATCCAATTACATTACAATTTATTAGTGGTTTGAAAGTGATTACCAATCCAAGTGGCAAAGAAGAGGTGTGGATGCTGTCGAATCGTATACAAAAGGCTTTTACCGGCAGCATTAATTACAGTGAGATTAATTTTCGGATATTGCGGTGTGGTGCTGATGAATTGCTGCTGGGTAGACCCTGTTAGTTGAATTGGATAAAAATAAGTTTAATTATTTAGTAAACGTACTTAAATAGTTTGATATATTTAAACTAACCTTTGTACAAATGTAGTTTTAAGGGTTCCAAAATAGTAAAAAATCATAGATTTTATAAAACATTACTTTAATCTGCATACATAACTACTAAATAGAATTTCGCATTTTCAATTATTTTGGTGTTAAAGCATAAATTTCGGACATATATCTTTTTATCCGACTTCAACAAAAAGGAACCAAGGTTATCAATTCATCAGAAAGGGCGATTTCTGGTTTTAATATTGGTATGTTTATTTCACCGAAATGGAACCTATTTTGTTCTGTTGTACAAAAATAGTTTTCTTTAAAAGAATAACGGCCCGTAACCCAGAATCTGATAACGGGGACTTCTTAGCGTTATTCTGTTTGTATTTTTGCATTCAGTATTTTTTTTAATCAAAGAGTTGTTTCAAATTGTCCATAGTAGCCTGCCTATTTCTCATTACATCCATATTCAAACCTCTCTCATCACATCGTCGGTCGGGTGTAGAAATTTGAGTACCAAAGAAAGTTTCGATCGGAGTNTTCTCATTACATCCATATTCAAACCTCTCTCATCACATCGTCGGTCGGGTTTAGAAATTTGAGTACCAAGTAGAGACAGTGTAGAGTAGAAAGTTTCGATCGGAGAAACAGTTAGAATGAACAGTTTCTTCAAGAGTAGTGGTTCATTACCCAGTCTACTTAAGTTCAAGAGCCGAAAGTAATTATCAAAGGGGTCTCGTTAATTCCATTTCACCCAAAACAATGGATCTCAAAACAGCGCAGACATCATTTACGTATTCAAAAGATAGATAATAAAATTATTGGAGTCTTATATTCCGTACCCGAGATAGGCTATACTTGTTTCCGGATAGAAAAGGATCAAGGGTCACACTATAAACAAGCAATTTTTTATTTACACGCTGACTGCATAATCGTGTATGTCTTTTAGAAATATTTACTGCCTAGACACAAACAAAAATTTTAACAGGGCTGGATGGTAAAACAAAGTCCTTGTGCACTGATTGGGCAGCGTGGTACCAACGTCTTATATGTATGTAGAAAACTATGTCAAACCGAGAACATTTCCCATAGTGTCTGTTGCCTTCACGATGAACAAGCTGGTCCATTTTTAGGAGTAGTATTAGGGAGTAGCAGTTAATGATAAGTGCCGAAAAGGCAGCGAACTGCCACAAATCCCTTTATGTATTGGCAGGGAAATTCCCTTAGTAGCTTTTACCCATACTCAGGATATTGAAGAATACCAGTGAACGATACTCTGCAATTAAAAATTGTTGGAAAACAATTAGTGGCGTGTGTCGCCTTGATGCTGGGGGAGACGATGGATACTTTGGGTAAAGGAGAAGTCATACGTAACAATATCTTCATCTATTCACACAGTAAGGCGGCACTCGAAGCGCTTGACTCGACCACAATCAACTTAGAAACCATATCGGGCTGCTATAGACCTCTAAACGAGATGGCTGAGCAATCTGCTCTTCACTTGGTAAGGGTGGTGCACCCTTGCAAAAGAAGGCACGTCCGTTCCAATTCCGCAGCCCTGGAAGGGTTTGGGCATGCCGGTCGCTACCTGCAAGCAGTAATAACTACGAAACCTATGTGGCCAAAATGGAACGAGAAACGGTCAAAAGGTTTTCTCATGCTGGGCAGGGGCGAATTAGTCACAGAACGGCCGGAATTAATGCACCTGCTATGCGAATGTACGGCAACTTACTCTCCTACAACTTCTGCAATCCGAATCGCAGGATCTTCGCCTGTAAATAGCAAAAGCACTTTCCCATTCTTCTGTCACGGGTGGGACAAAAAAAAAAGAACCTGCTTTTTGGAGCAGATATATTTTATGGAAACTTTTCTGTGTGAACTTGATGTCTTATAATAAAACCAGGAACCAGGAACACAAAAAAAGCAAAAGCTACAAAAAAATGATGGCTTTATTTAACAAAAAATGCGAAATTCCGGGTGGGACAACGTTTGTCAGGGGTAGGATCCTAAGGAATTTTTATATGAAAAGGAGCTTTTAGTTTGGTCCATATATAAAGATTAGTTATTAAAAAATATAAGAAGCCAAGTAGGGGTTAAATTCCCTCACGTTTTTTCTTAGAATGGTGCTTTTATACAGAAGAAAATGCTTAGCACCGTCAACAAAAAAAAATTATTAAAAATGAACGCGATTTCCTATCGTCTTGATATTTTCACTGCATACCTAAAAATTCTGAACAAAAAGTTAAAAATTTTTGGGTGTAATTTTTAAAAGTTGTTGATTTTTATAATTTTTGCAAGAAGTTTGAAATGTGGATTTATGTGGTTCTGGTTAGGTTATGTGCTAGACTTTTATTAAAAAAAAAGAACTGTAAACATTTGATTAATAAAATAAAAAACCAAAACTGGTCAATATGTAACTTAACTTAATCAGCTCACACAAGGGCATATAGATAATGGACGAGTCCGCGCACCTTCCCTGCGTCCACCACAACAAACAAATAAACCTTATCAGCCCTGTAAACCTACCTCTGACAACTGTCCCACACACAGCTGTCACGGGTAGGACATGCTTCTCTGTTGAATTATTCTTACTAGTGTTCGCCCAGCGGTTGAAATTCAACCTATAAAATTAAGGATAGTTTATGTAAGTTGAATGAGCTAAAATAACATTAGTTGGAATGGGTTAAGTGGAGGGGAGTTTAGCTTAGTGCTTGGCATAACATAACATAACCATAACATAAGAATAAATAACATAACATATGAAGCATAACACACCACAATATAACATCGCACACTCTTCAGTTGTATTTCCTTTTTATCCCTTTTTTCACCTCTATCTAAATCTTATTTATTTTGGTTCATTTTATGCCAAATGATGTTGCCTTTGATGCCACATCAAGTGATATCATGTCATCATCTTCATCTTCATCTTCATCTTCATCTTCATCTTCATCTTCATCTTCATCTTCATCTTCATCTTCAGCTTCATCTTCATCTTCATCTTCATCTTCCTCGTCGTCTTGGTCTTCATCTTTATCTTTTCCTTTATCCTGATCTAAATATGTTCATTCTTTTCTTCATTTACATATTCACCTCCACCATTGTTATTAGGTTAGGTATTTAAATTTTCCTTCCTCTTTGTCTTTATATCTAGGTTTCTTTACTTTTATTTTAATTTCTGTATTTATCACTTTCTTCTTCTCCATACTCAACTTTACCTTCTTCTTTGTTTGAGTCTAATCTATTCATGTACATACATACATACATTTTATTCCTGAACTGCTGCTTAGCACGTTTCTTTAATTCGCTATCAATATTAAAGCATACATTTAGGGGGCATTTCCGCCCCAACCATGTACATGTGTGCATTGGTATTGGTGTGACTTTTGAATTGATTTTTTCG